TGACTTATGAATATAAAAGGATCATTCTGGCCCTTAACTAGAGAATAAATTATAGGAGGACAAGGGTTGAAAGAGATACGCAAGTTAGGAAGCTAACCTATAGATCATTTTGACAGCTTGCACTCTGGTCTCATCCAAGTCCACCTAAATGTAATTTTTTATCTCTACCACCTGTCTCTTTTTCCATCCATATTACCCAATCCAGAAATCATTACCTACTATTTTCACTGTTATAATACTAGACACCCTAGTTTGGGGGTGACGAGTGTGAAAAAGGTAAGAGTGGAGCTTCACATTCATGCCTTAAATAGTTCCATAAACAATACTGAATAGAACAGAAAGATAAATAGTACATTGTTAAAATGGAAACTCAGTGGCATAGTTGAAGGTTTGGGTACCTCACAGCAGCAAATAAAAACAAAAAATAATCATAAAAATGCTTACTTGAAAATCTTTGAGAATTTCTGAGTTAATGTACATTTATAGATAGAAGCCTAATCTTTTAGAATGCTTGATTTTGACTTTGTTTCAAAGAAACAGGTGCAATTATGTTTGGTCACTTTATTTTAATTCACAGAGAACATACGAGAATTAATTTTTAAAACATACCAAAACCCAAACAGACAACAATCTCAGCCAATATCAAGATATTTGACTTTTCTAATTAAAAAGCAAAATTATATCTTCACAACTTTGAAACACACAATAATTTCATGTTCTTAAATATAATGCCATACTCCCAAATATAAAAGAGATAAAGGCAAATGCTTAAAGCTGAGTATCATCAATAGCTAAGAAAAGTAATGTAATAAAACATGAGATTTTATTCCTAGAAAGTGTAATTGGATTTAGTGACTATCAAAAGCAATTATTATATTAACATTTACCTTTATTGGTAATAGTTCTAGAAATAAGAAATGTATCTGTGGCAATTTAAACAATTCACTTTTCTTAAAAAGACAGTCTGACTATTGTCAAAACTGACCTGTGAGTTCACTGGGTCTACAAAAATTATGTTAATATTTACTCAACAGAAGGAGGAGAAAGTTCAAAGTAAATAAGACAGCTACAAATTACCACCAACTATATGCAAAGCTACGTAAATGATTTAATATAGTAATCTTATGCTACTGAATACTCAAGAAAATCAGAATATAATTCAATTTTTAATATATAGGTTTTTACAATTTATAATTATATAGACATGATCATTATTTGTCTGCTTAAAGAGGTTCTCACTGCTATTAATTTGCCTTTCTTTGAAAAGCAGACTATAATAGTTCCTTTAGCTAGCACATCTCAAATCTGTTACCAAGAGAAAAGAATTAAGAAAAAAAGCATGTCACTTCTTTCAAGCTTCATTTCTTCTATTTTATAAGGGGAAATAGGAATCTTATAAAAATTGGCCAATGCAGTAGAGTTTGAATTTATATTCTCCTAAAATGGTAAACATAATAAATTGAGAACCAAACGCTCAATTTTATTTCATGCCAATTGTAGCTAGAAAGTACATAATTATAGCAGGAGGACTGACTTTACAGCAATTGTAAAAATGTAAATAAGGCTTTAAAACTGACTAGGAATTATATTTTATAAATGAAGCTTTGATTTTAATATAAACAATTATCTTAGGACATGATATGCATTATTTAAAATGTTCTTCCTTTGTTACCATTGAAATGGTAGTTATACTTTAGAAAACCAGAGGACAGAAACACCTGTTTCTTATCAATTCATATCTCCTAGTGATTACAATAATTTTCTGTACAAGATAGACTTTAAAATTTTAATACTGCAATATTTTAAAGTTTATATTATTAGATAAAAGTTTATTTTTAAAGTATCAGTGGAAAATATGAAACAAACTGTGATATGACATTATCAATTTTAGTCTAAATATTCTTAATAGCAAAGTATCAAGTGTCTACATTTAAAATGCTTTGCATAATTTGTATTGATTTTGTCCTAATGCAAATATTTAATTATTAAAAAATTTGGAAAATAAACCTTTCAACATGCAATAAAAACTGTCAATATTTTGTAATATTTTCTTCAGATCACGAGCCCACTTGGTTAGCTGTCTACCTAAAATTTGGATAATACTAAATGTATTTTTTTATAAGTTGTCTTTTTATTAGTTCCAAAGCTCGTAAGAGATATTAAAGTATATTTTAATTGAAAAAAAAATCAAATGGCTTTTAAATCTATGTTTTCTTTTAAAAGAATGAAGTCCATGCCAAGTTGAGTCATGAAGAGAAATGTCAGTGCAATCCCTGGCAGCTGCTCGCTTCCCTGGGAAGGAAGGGCTGGTTAGGAGTACAGTAGCTAGCAAACCCCTCAGCACTCCGCAAAGTCACTAGTGGGAAAAGAACAAAGGCCTTTCCAGTGCAACTAACACAGATGTGCCCAAAGGCAAACTGTCAGAAACAGTTAAGATGACAGCTACTCACAGTTCATTATTTCCTTCTCACAGGTCACTGGGTGACAAGCTGGGTCAGCATGCTTTGTTGGCTGTCCCAGTCCCTCTCCACCCCCTATTCCATTTAAATAAGGGTAAAGGACTACTTTGGATAAACTAATGTAAACAAACACATTCCAGACACTTAATGCCAGAATATGGCATTTACTTTACTTTGGACCAAACTTAGAATTCAATGTACACACAACTTATTTTATCGAAGCAAGGAGAGAAGCACACTTCTACGCCTACTTTTCAGTGATTATTTGATAGAAAGAGAGAGAGAGAGAGAGAGAGAGAGTGAGTGTGTGTGTGTGTGTGTGTGTGTGTGTGTGTGTGTGTGTGTTTTAAGAGGGAAAGAAATCGAAATTACATCTACTGCGGTAAATTGTGAAGGCGGAGGGGAAAGAATGTAGATAAATCCCTGCCTTAAGAAAAAAAAAAAAAAAAAGGCAGGAAGAGTTGCTGGAGCCTAACACAGAAACCCTGAGGAATGCCCAGTAAGAAAAGGCCTCTAGGAGATTTTTAATGAAACCATATCCCAAACATATTTACTAGTCAATTCCTATTGACTAAAAAAGCATAAATCTAAATAAATCCCCATTAAAAATTCTTTTCTATCTCTACTTGTTTTCAGAACATTTTCACAACTAACACTTGAATGCTTACTACTTTCCTAGAACATAATGGCATCTCACTTAATTCTGACAACCTCAGATAGGTCTTGTGGTATGGTAGCTGACATTAAATGCCCTGTCTTTTTGGGCCTCACTTTTTCTAATACTATATTCCTTTCTTCCAAAGTGTGGTCATCAGATTGCATTGCCTCAGGGGAGAAGCAACAACAGAATTCCAAAGCCAAATCCCTAAGCTACCCAGTGCCCTATACCCTTAAAGAAAATACTTTTCAAGCAGGGAAAGGGTAAAATAGGCAAAGCAGGTAGTTATCATGAAGGACAAGTTCAGCGTGGGGCAAACACACAGACCCCACATATGTTTCAGGAATCTGAGAGCAGAAGTAAACTGTGCCTCTTTCTTGAGTAGAGCCCAGGATAATGAGATCCCAGGATAATGACAAGCCCCAGTGTTCCCTAAAAAAATGGCTGAGTAGAAATCACTGCCAAATAATTCTAGAGAGGGCAAAAACAGCCTCATAGAGCAATATTACATATTCCCAAGTGCCCCAGTGTTTCTTGAGTTCCTATTTTAGATTAAAATATCAGACAAGGACTTTCCCCAAGGCTCTTACAGTCTAGTGATGTGAGAATAGCAGAGAGTGGCTTGGCTATATGGTTCCTCAGCCTGTGGTCCTGTTGTAGATGGAGCAGCAGAGTTGAGATTCTTGTGTGTGATTAAAAAATAACTAGCAGGGAAAAGAATACCTGGAACCTAAGTTTTCATATCTTATAATACAGCAAGGTATTAAATTTGTTACTTTGTGTTCTATCTTCAAAACAAGTATAAAAGACTTGAGTTTTAAATAGAAAATTAAATAAATAATAAATTGGATAGTCAATTTTGCTATCTATCAGAAAAATATGTTCCCCTCCTGTCAAAATCCCAAGTGAAAATATGTAATTTAGGAATATAGAATAGCTTTTTAATTAAAGTAAAAGTTTCTTGTCTCTTTTCATGCAAGTGACATTGCTATCTACAGTTAATGTATTTAAATTTAGGATGGCTGGGTGTGGCAGCTCATGCTGATAATCCCAATACTTTGGGAGAGTGAAGTGGGAGGATTGCTTAAGGTCAAGAGTTCAAGACCAGCCCAGGCAATATAGCTACACCCCATTTTTATAATTAATTAATTAATTTAATTAAATAAATTTAGGAACTTAAACTTAAACTTTAGTGAACATGATAAGAATTATATTACTCCTTTAAGAGTACTTCAGTAAACAGTAATTTCAAACAGGTTTAGATTAAAATTATAATTTGTAAAGTCAGTTTATGATTTACAACATCAACCCAAACATAATAATAATAATGAACTTTAGTTTCCAATTAAATAAAGAGGATCAGAGAAACTGTTCTATTTTTTAACCAAGGATAATTTTTCAGTTGGTTAGCAATATCAATGATGTTATTTTTATTCTAGGAATCGAAATGGGGTAGATTTGTTGTCACCAGTTAAGACCATCTATTGTGCACTTAACCTGAGTCCAAATAATAATGTTCTCATGGAAAATAAAAAGGATTGCCCATGGGACAGTTTTCTTCAACATACCTTGCTATTTTTAACAACTGGATATATGGTCTGTATTGCCTTTGCTTAACTAGGTTATTTCAGAGTATTTTAGTGAAATCCCAGCAACCCATCCTGAGTATATTTATAAACAATAACATACAGTACATCAATCTTCAACAAAATACACATAAATATCACATTTCTTGATCAAATATGACCCAAAAACTACTCTGTTTGAAAGCCAAAGGGCTTTTGAGATATTTCAATAATCTTCAAGAAATCAATCTTACATGAAACTGAAGGAAAACATCGAATGTCATTGAGCAATAAAGCTCAGTTCTGTCAGTACCCTACCTCTGAGCAGAAGCCTTAGGATGTTTCTCTTCCAGTTTCCTCACCAGTGCTACTGTCAGCTGCCCCGTCTCCTCAAGAGAACCTTCTGGCATTAAATGGGTGTCTGAGGGTTCTGGCAGTTGCTTCAGACCAGGGTTGCTGGCACTTTCTTGCAGAATCTAATAAATTAATTATAGGAATAATGTAGCTAATTTTCACTGAGTGGAAATATCTAAACCATACATGCCAAAAATATAATACTGCAGCTTCCATGGTTCCTTCAGTCTTCCTACAACACATAAGTCCTTTGAACGTAGCCAAAACAAAAGAAGGCAATCCTAAGAAAATGCGTATCACCATCTATTTAGCAAAATGTTTATATAAAGATATATGTTTATGTAAATATCAATGTGTATATAGATATTATATTATGTGTATTATTTTAAACTATCAGTAACATTAAGTTGTGAATTTGTGCTTGCCTCCAAAAAACAACTTGAACATTTTTTCTCTTTTCAAAATATATTTTAGAGAGCTATTTCTGTCTTGCCTCTGGCTCCCTACACTGACCTCTTTTGCTAAGTTTCTGCCACGTTCCTGATGAGCTGTGGTCCAGGCACCATGGTGAATGTGATACTCTGTCTGGGTTACATCTACTTCAGCATTTAGCTCCTCTAGGTAGGTCAGAACAAATTGAGGATAAGCCTGTAAGAAAGGAAAAAATAGTAAGTAGTATCAGCCTTATAAACAATAGCCAAAAGTCCATCCAACTGGAAAGAGGGGAAGATAAATAGTTAAAAGGTCTGGCTAATAAACTTTGTACTTTATTATCAATTTCATAAAAAAATCAAGCCAAATTACTTAAATATTAAAATTTCTAATTAGTTGTTAATTTGATCAAGTTTAGCTAGGTAGCTAATTTTTCAGCCTTAGATAAGATTAAAACAGTAAAACCATCTTATACATTAATAATAATACGTAAATTTATTGAGTTATCTCTATATACAAGGTATTATTGTAAATACAATACATACATGTAATTGTGTAGTTGCTGTACTGTTTGGAAGTATTCAAATTTGCTTTAGAAGACAAGAAAATAAACACAATGAAGCTGAAACAGCTTCATTAAGCATAGATAAGATAGTAACCTGAGAAGTGTTAGACACTAAGTAGAGCATATGTCTATGAACACTAAAAGGCCTTGAAAGACAACATAAAGGCCCTGCGTGGTAGCTCACACCTGTAACCCCAGGACTTTGGGAGGCCAAGTGGACAGATCACGAGGTCAGGAGTTCAAGACCAGCCTAGACAACATGGTGAAACCCTGCTTCTACTAAAAATACAAAAATTAGCTGGACATGGTGGTGCATGCCTGTAATCCCAGCTACTCAAGAGGCTGAGACAGGAGAATTCCTTCAACTGGGACCTGGGAGGCGGGGGTTGCAGTGAGCCAAGATCGTACCACTGCACTCCAACCTTGGCTACAGAGACAGACTCCATCTCAAAAAAGGAGAAAAAAAAAAAAAAAAGAAAAGAAAGAAAGAAAGAAAGAAAGGTAAAATAGACATTTAGTATTCATGACTAACTAATAAACAAAGCAAAAAATACTTATGAAATACTAAATACAAATAGAGCACATGAGGTGCACAATAATCATGAGGTCTTTAATTAGCCACCCATTGCTGACTCTCACCTGGGGTCTTCTGCCAGATAAAATCCATCACTGCTCATCAGGCTAACTGAGGAGTACAGCTATGGGTCAAGTGACTCACACACAGCTCTCATGGAACAAGTGTGTGTCACTGTCCCCGGCATCTTTTATTTGTTGGGCCCCTCTGGTCAAGTTTTCATTCTGGTTCTTGTAACTACATCAGCAGCAGGAAAGAGTAATGTCGCATAAAGCAAGGACACGTAAATAATGCAGACGAGATTCAGGCTAATATGACCCTTCAACCCACTCTTGTAATATTTCAATTATATTAATGTGGCCCATCTCGCTTTCTTTACATTTTGTTTTATGTTTTAAATTGATTTAATAGGTCATGATGTGAATATTTTAATTTCTTCTGTGCACTTTTCTGTACCATGGGCTATAGCCTAGCTTATCAAGTAATACGCTTGGAGGCCACCCTTGTGTGGAAGTAATTTCCCACATAACAATAAATTTGCATTTTAATCCTTGCAACAGCACTTTGAAGTGGGTACTATTATTGTGCCCATTTTAAAGGTGAGGAAGCAGGCACAGAGAAGTTAACATGCTTCACTGTCATCCTCCTTGATTAATAGTCTCTCAAGCTTAAATATGCTGCCTCAATTATAATATAAACTCCTTACTGTACTTTTTAAAATGTGGAACTAAAATTCTAAAAAACAAAAAATATGAGGAAGTGTACAGTAGATAAAGGCGCTAAGGTCCTTACGTTGTTCTAGAAAAAATACATACTGAATAACTTTTAACTTTGTTAGAAGATGTAATGTAAATATGCATGTTTAAAATTTGAGGCACTTCCCAACCTTAAATGCGTACTACGTAAGTGTTAAGAGTCACCAGGAAGACAAAGAGTAACAAAATCAAAATGAAAGGGAATAACGAGAGTTGGCAAGAATGTGAAGGGTTGAAAGCCTTGCTATTCCTCAAAATGTTAAATGTGGAGTTTTCATATGACCCAGCAATTTCACTTCTAGTTATATACCTGTGAGAAATGAAAACATACATACACACAAAAATTTCGGTACCAATGCTTATTTTATTCAGTTTTGAATTATTGGAGATTTTTTTCAAAAATAACATGTATCCCTTTGATTATTTAAATGAGAACTGTTCTACACATGCAAATATATGCATAATAATTTTTGAGAATATATAAAAAGCATGCTGTTAGTGAATAACTCTGAGAAATGGGAATAGAGTTTGAGAAGAAGAGAATTTACTTCTCCTTAATGTGTTTGTTCTAATATTAATTTTTATAGCATATCACTTTTATAAAAATTAATACTTAAATAGGAATTGGATAAAGTGATATTATTGCATATACTATTCAGATAATTTTGGAAAGAGATTTTTGAATCACTAAGCTAATCCAAAATATTAACAAAACAAAGTTTAATCTAAAAAAAATTAGGATTTTCATTTTGCCTTCAATCTTATGTCATCTTTATTGCATTATGTTACTTTTTGTTTTCTTACTGTCATTCAAGACAATTCAACTGAAAAGAATGTGATGGGTAATAAAGAAGTAAATTATTCCATATTGGTTCCACTAAAATCATCAAAGCCCAAATTCAGCAACAAAAGACCACTATGTTTAAAATATGAGAGAAAACATAATTTCAAATATGTTCCACAATATCAGAATATTAAAAGAATTGACTTATAAAGAGCAAAACAAACAGTAGACACATTCCAAGACTGTAAGTGACAGCAGCATGACTTAAATTCTGACAAATGTAAATCCCATATATTGTTATGGTAGTTTTATGCTTCACATCCTCTAATAGAAGTAAAGACATTTTATATCAGTTTATTTCTGAGGTACTTTCCCTAATACTAGAAAGAAGATGTACCTGGAATATGGGAAATTTCAATATATAATATATCCAGTGAAATGGAAGAGGAAGTGTCCCAAAGATAGGGCCATGATGTGGCTGAACATTCTGTGAGACATTAAAGAAACAAAGACCAAAAGTACAACCAAAATGCACTAACAGGCTTTGCTTCCTGGAGTTGTAAGTCTGTCCAAGATGCAGACATATATAAACAACACAAAGTGACCAGAGCTATTATTCATCTTCCCATCATGCATTTTAGGACATTTACAAATTGTCCTGAAACTTCCCCTTTGGAGTCATTCCTTTTCCAGGTAATACCTAGTGTAATACTTTAATACCACAGTTCTTCAGTGTTATCTACTATAAGACCAGGTGATTTTGACTTCCAATGAGGCAACCACAGGGTTCAGTCATCATACCACCAGTACAGACAACTACTTCCTCCAAAATCTGAAATTCAAATATTTTCTTCTAGGAAGTCAATAGCCTAATCTTTCAACTTTTCCTTCCTTCAGCTTCACCAATGCATCACCCTAAACTGACCTCTAATGTCTTAAGCCCTCATTATTTTCCAAGTCCATCAGCTCTTTGGCTGATAATGCATTCTTCACATTCTAACCCATTTTTTACCATCAGAAGATAAATTTTAACAAAGTGCATCTTTAATCACATGATTCTCATTTCAAAAACTTCAAAAAGTACATACTGATTAACAACCTACAGTCCTATCTTGGCTTTAAATTCCAGCTATGTTATTTACTGGCTTTGTGACCTTGGGTACGTTCAACTTTCATAACAGAGAAGTTTTCCCACTGAAGATTGAGTAAGAACATGCTTGGAATTTCACATGTACTAGATTCACTCTCAGGATGCAACTGTAGCTCCATGGTTGTTAATAGAACCCTATCCATTTAGGAGATTTTTTCCCCCCGTAATAGGGCTGGGGGATCATCTCCATTACTCTCAAGGTGTTCCCTTCATGTCTGCTAGAAAGGCTATGTTTCATCTAACTTTGGGGCTCCACAAGAGTGCTCATGTTTTCAAGAGAAGTATGGCAGGTAAGTCAGCAGAATTTCACATGGAACTTTAAACTCCAGATACTCTGCCTACTCTTGGTCAATACAATAATCAGGCATGTTTTTGAAGAGGCCCTTTTTTTTTTTTCTTATTATACATGCTTGTTACAGAAAACTTAGAAAATATAGTTAAAAACAAAGAAAATAATTATCCATCTTTCCACCACCCATTTCACATATAAACTTCCAGTTTTGTCTCTATACATATTTCTTTGGTACAATGTAGTAAAACATTGTTTTCTTACCTGATCTTTTCAATTAACAACATTATGATTTTTCTTCATCATCATAAATTATTCTCCATGATTTGTGATGCCAGTATTTGGTATTCATAATAAAGACATGCCACAATATATTCATACAATCTCATTGTTGATTTCTTAACCTGTTTTCAATATTCACCAATGTAAATAGTACCATAATGGACATCCTTAAAGATATATTTTGGTGCATACTATTGATTAATTTCTTGGGGTAGGTTGCTATAAGTGAAATTTCTGAGTCACAAGGAATATGCGCTTTTGTAAGGATTTTGATGAATGTCAAACAGACCTCCAGAAATATTGTGCCACCCACTTTGATGGTCCCAAAAGTTCCCTGCTCATTGTATTCATACTTTCATGTAGTGCCCTCCTATACTGTCAACTCCAGAAAGCAAAGCCCACTACTAGATTTTCGTTGATTATACTTATGGTCTTTGCTTCTGTCATGGCTAGCAGAATATGCAGCCACATCATGGCCTTACCTTTTGGGTACTTCCTCTTCCACTATGTGATCCAAAGAATTTGGCAGAAGCGGTGGATGCCACTTCCAAAGTGAGGTTATAAGAGACACTTGAGCTTCCATTTTGTTCTTTTGTTCTCTCTCACTCTTTTGGTTGTCTAGCTCATGTTGTGCAGGCCCACATGGCAAAGCAACTAATGCCTCTGGGCTACAGCAAAGTAAGTATGCTTAGAAGCAGATCTTCCAGCCTTAGTCAAGCCTCATTGCTTGCAACCTGTTAGTCTCGTAAGCAACTTTAAGTTAGAACTACCAAGGTAAGTCAGTCCAGGTTCCTGACCCACCAAAACTGTAACATAA